ATCGGATGCGATGACCAGAACGAGGGCGAGGACCACGACGAGGACAGCGACGAGGCCAACAAGGACGAGGAGGACAAGGAGGAGAAGAGCGAGGATCACATCGCGCGGTGCAAGGTGTCCTTGCTGGACCCGCCCGGCGACGGCGCAGGCCCCGTGCGCCACAGCCGCAGGGGCGCCCTCCGCTCGGTGACCTGCGCAGTCCTCGCCCCATCGTCCATCAGCATATCGGGGCACCGCAGGCAGCGCTCGGCTCACTGCGCGCGCGCGAGCGCAGACGCCAAAGGACAACCGCGAGGGCGCCGACGCCTTCAACGCACCATGGACACCCATGCCCGCACATTCACATTGCACCTGCACACACACACACTACGTTTCCAGGATCACACAGCTGGATGCCCAAACGGGCTCTCATGGTACCGTCAATCAGATACCGGCTCGAAATACAGCCTGCTTACACACCTACGGCATGCAACATGGTCGGCGCGAACTACCACCGCATCGACGATAGTCCCAGCGAGCATTGGTTTGCCGAAGCTGGCATCTGGCTACGTGACCTGCCCCACCATAACAAGCATATACAGTTGGTTACGACGGGAAGCCACGGAGAAGATGACAGGCAGTATTTCGTTATCTGAGAACTTGAATCGGCCTTACGCCACCGCTTCAAGGATCTATACAGCAAGTGGATCAACGTATACAAGGCCAAGTGCTACTACCGGTAACCCACCTGAAGGACCACATTGCGAGTGAGCGCCACCGCGGCCCCCTGCGAAGTGGCGATTGGCATGTTACCACAAAGTACACCCTGGTGGAGAGCCAGCCATACGATTCTGCAGTCAGGCTCCACTATTATCTGTCATGGGACCTGGATCAGGAGGACTACGTCAGGCCCGATATCGATACAGCCCCCCATCCTATCGGCGGGCTCGAAAAGGCGATCGTTGCCAAGCTACGTAGCCAACCGTATGATTTGAATTGGACCAGCACGCGCACATAAAGGTATGCTTCATGAGCTACAACTACAACGGGTACAGCTTGGCGAACGAAATCAAACTACATTACAAGCCTACTATTACAGGTGGTACCAAATATACGTCGTGGACTTGCTGGACTCCTAGGGCAACGCGATCACATAGGGCCACTGCAAGAAAACCGGCCTACCATCCCCAATGGGCACTCACAACCAGGGCACATAGCGCGCGGGGCAGCACCGAGGAAGATGATTACCGAAAACTACGTGGAGCATCTCAGCAAAACGGTACCTCGCTACTGACAGATCCGTTAGCGAGAGCTTCGGCCTTATTACGACTTCTACAGCGCCACGGACAAGGCACGCCGTGTGCAAAAAGTTTCGCGCAGGGTGCGTCGGAACCTTAGTGCGGACAGCTCCTTCCACTGAATGGCCCCGCCGCTCACTCCTCCTCGCCCCCCTCCCTTCTCTCGGGGGAGCGTAAGACCCGGGTTTGCCAGGACTCGGGTTCGCCATCGTTTTTTGACGACCGCGCCTCGGATTTTGACGAGGAGGAGTTTCGTGGGATGTCTGCAGCGGGAGGCCTCGTCAGAATGCAGGCTCGGCCTCGTCATTTTTGTTGACGACCTCGTCGGGGATTTCCGAGTCCCCTGTACCCAGGTCTTACGTCCCCCCTGATTCTCGTGGGCCTCGGGATGGTCAGCAGGATGGCGTGGTGGCCGCCCCCTTCTCGTGGGCCTCCTCCTCCTCCTCCCTTCTCGTGGGCCTCCTCCTCCTCCTCCTCCTCCTCCTCCTCCTCCTCCGCCTCCTCCTCCTCCTCCTCCTCGTGGGCCTCGGGATGGTCAGCAGGATGGCGTGGTGGCCGCCCCCTCCTCCCGCCCCTCCTCGGCCACGCTGGCCCCCCGAGCGGCGCCCCGGGGGGCCCCCGCGCCTCCAGATTGTCGGGCGCCCGCCCGCGCGGAGGCCGCGCGCGCGCGGGCGCGGAGCGGGGAGGGCCGATGCCACCGCCCAGGGGAAGGAGCGAAAGACGAGGAGGAGGAAGAGATCAGAGACAGGAGGAGGAGGAGCGAAAGACGAGGAGGAGGAGAGGTCAGGGGGGAGGAGGAAGACACGGAGGAGGAGAGATCAGAGAGGGGGAGTCGGGGGCAGAGGCAGGGGCGGAAGCGGAGGCGTCAGCGGAGGACGGCGACGACGACGACGACGGCCACGACGACGACGACGACGACGACGACGACGACGACGACGACGGCAACGACGACGGCAACGACGACTGCGACGGCGGCAGCGACGACGACGACGACGGCGACTGCGACGGCGGCAGCGACGACGACGGCGACGGCGACGGCGACGGCGGCGGCGGCGGCGGCGGCGAGGGCGGCGGCAACGAGGGCGACGAGGGCAGCGGGCGCCCGCGGCGCGGCGCGGGAGCGCGAGCCTGCTGCCCCTCTACGGCTTCGACCTCCGGGGCGCCGAGTTCGAGCCCGCGGTGCTGCGGCGCCCGCGGCCCGCCGTGGGCGGCCACGGGCACAGGCGGCCGCGCGGGGGGGGGGGCCGCCGCCGGCCTCGCCTCCTCCTCGTCATCCATCCTCCTCCTCCTCCTCCTCCTCCTCCTCCCCCTCCTCCTCCTCCTCCTCCCCTCCTCCTCCTCCCCCCCTCCTCCTCCTCTCCTCCTCCTCCCTCCTCCTCCTCCTCCTCCTCCTCCTCCTCCTCCTCCTCCTCCTCCTCCTCCCCTTCGTCCTCCTCCGCCTCCTCCTCCTCCTCCTGCTCCTCCTCCTCCTCCCCCTCCCCGCCCTCTCCAATGCTCGGAAAGAGGGCCAGTCGAGGCAACGGCGAACTCCCGGATTCTTCTCGTCGCCGCGGTTGGATCCGCCTCGGAAGCTCTGGTCCGCATGGACCCCAGGAGGGTTCCGGGGATTGATTTTGACGGGACGTGGGCCAGGCGAAAGAGCCGCCCGTTGTCTCAAATGGCCTTCCCCCGAGATGGGGGGGGGGGCGGCGGGCAGCGGCGGGGAATTCGGTGCTGCGCGGCGGGGGTCGACGAACACAAAGCGACATAGACCGAACTTGTCGGAGTTCTGCACGGGTTTTGTCGGGAGGATGAGTGGGGGGTGGAGGAGGAGGAGGAGGAGGAGGAGGAGGAGGAGGAGGAGGAGGAGGATAAGGAGGAGGAGGAGGAGGAGGAAGAGGAGGGAGAGGAGGAGGAAGAGGAGGAGGACCCCGCCCGTGACGCCGCGTCTCGCGCCGACCATGGCGCCGACCCTGGCGCGCACGGCGCGCCTGGGAGAAGGGCCTCAGGCCGCTTCTGTTCAAGCTGTTTTTGTTCGGTGGGGCAGTCCTGCCCCACCCTTGGAGGAGAGAGCGGCGAGTCGCAGCGTCCTGCTCGTCCACAGCCTCTTCCCGCGCTTTGTGGGTGGGCGCGTGGCTGCCCCCCTTCCACCCGTGGAGACGGGCCGAGTTCCGATTTGGGAGGATGTGGGGGAGTACCAACCGGAGGAAGAGCAGGCGGGGGAGGGGGGGGAGGAGGAGGACCAGCATAACCCCAAGAGTCATCAGCGATGTTGGAATTAACCCTCCCTCCAAGCTCCCTCTTCATAGGCCCCATACCACTGTTCATTTCCACTTAGGAAACTGCATCGTTGGAAGGCAGCCATTTGAATACCTTGAACATGCCAAAACAGTGTTCTTGGGATTTCCACGCCACGGATCAACATGACTGCTGCGTCCTGACGATTTGGAATCGTGCCAGCACGCCATTTTAGGGACTTCAGCATCGCGAATCAACATAAGTGTTGCAAACGCATAATCCAGAATCCTTCCAAAACACCAGTGTTGATACGCTGATCATGGGAATCCGTGAAGATCTTGCCTTTTTACAACGAATGTGCGCGGCGCTAAGGCGAGAACCACATTTTGAAAACCACCCGCCCTCAATCCAAAACTGGCCTCGGGGTGCGACTGGGAGAAGTTAGTTATAAAGGAGAAGGGATGGAGGAGGATTCTCAGCGGTTCGTGAGCCAGTCGCATGAGTTCGGGGTACTTCCACCCCCAGAGCCGGCTTGGAGAACGGCTAAATAAGTTGCCTGCGTTGAGGCAAGGCGGAAAAAGCAGAGCGCGGGGGGGAAGTTGACGCAAGGCGGACGAGCAGGATACCGTAGGAGGAAGTGAAGCAGGGGAGGAGGGGGCACGGGAGATGAGGGAGAGGAGGAGGAGGAGGAGGAGGAGGCAGGAGAGGAGGAGGAGGGCGAGGAGGAGGAAGGGAAGGAGGAGGCAGGGGAGAACAAGATGCAACAGGAGGACGAGGACCATAGTCAACCCAGGATGCATCGACGCTGCACTACACCCTCACCTCCCAAGTCCCCTCCACTTCTCCCCACAGGTGTTCCTTTTCACTGCGGGAAGAACTCCCCTTGAATGACGGGCGCCCAGCGTGCCTGCCACCCACGGGAGGCCCTGCTGTGTAAAGGATCCACCTCCGTCCTTCGAGCTAAAGGACACGCCAAGAGCGAAGGTTCAAGGAAGAGTCCAGCGATAGCCCCGTCTGGTACAGGATCTGGCCACCAGCTCAAGTGCTGCCGCGTGTCAAGAATTTGTTGCTCGTCAAGCCCGGTTGGAAAGGAGCCGCCCTCCATCCGTGCAGCTGTTGCACAACCTGGGGCCTCGGGTCATAGAGCGTGACAGTGCTCAAGAGAGAGCCGCATTTTGAAACGGAACCGGCGGCCCCCGTCCTTATAATTATTGGAAGCTTGCGCAACGAGCGTGTGCGGCGTTCAAGCGAGAGCCATATTATGAAAAACGCCAGCCCTCCGTCGTTATTCCCCATCAAGCCTTGCACTTGGGAGTTTTTGCCTTGTTTAAAGGAACTATGCCTGAGGGTCGGTCTGGCGGCTATGTCGTCGCCGTCGCCGCCCCGTCACCGGCCGTCGTCTGGCCATGTTGGGCGGTCTCGCGGTTATGTTGTCGCCGTCTTCGCCCACGCGCCCCCTCGCCGCCCGTCGTCTGGACCTGCGTTGCTTCGCATTGCTTTGCATTGCTATCCAGCTGCCTGCGGCAAGTCCCGTCAGCGTGCCAGGCCAGCATTCTTGGTGGCGACTGTTCAAGCGGACACGGGAGGCCGTCACGTCTGAAACCTCGTGTTTCCAGGTGTGGGATAGCCCTGATAAGGATGATGCGGATCATGAGGTTGGTGGGGATGATGACGACATTTGTGAAGGTGATGATGATGATAATAATGATGATAATGATGATGATGATGATGATGATGATGAAGATGGTGATGGTGATGGTGATGGTGATGGTGATGGTGATGGTGATGGTGATGGTGATGGTGATGGTGATGGTGATGGTGATGGTGATGATGGTGGAGATAATGATGACGATGATAATGATGCTGATGACGGTATTGGTGATGGTGATGGTCATGGCGATGGCGATGGCGATGGCGATGGCCATGATGATGATGATGATGGTGGTGATGACGAGGAGGAGGAGGAGGATCAGGAGAAGGGGAAGGAGGATAAGGATAATAACGAGGATGGGGATGAGGATGATGAGGACGAGGATAATAGTGGTGATGATGACGGTGATGGTGATGCTGCTGATGATGGTGGTGATGATGTGATGACAGAGGTGATGATGATGTTGATGATGAGGATGATGAAGATGATGAGGATGATGATGATGATGATGATGATGATGATGCTGATGAAACTTGTCTGTGCCGTCGTAAGGTTGCCTTGGCCTTCTGTGAGGCAGTCTTGGGGTCCCTTGGGGCCCTCATGGGTCGTCTTGGGGCCCTCTTACGCTGGCTTGAGGTGTTCTTGGGCAGTCTTGGGTCCCTCTTGGCCATTTGGTATGTGATTGGGCCTGGTCGTGGGGTCATCATGGCGCCGTCTTGGGGGCGTCCAGGGGCCTTTTAAGGCCGTCTTGGGTCCCACGGGAGGCCCTCTTGGGCAGTGTTGGGGCCGTCTTGGATGCCTCCTGGGTCGTCGTAGAGTTCTCGTGGGCCGTCTTGAGCTGACGACAGCCCCGAAAGGCGAATATGCAAATACCATTATTCAGAAACCTAGAGGGAAACAATAACGCAGGCGTCTTCGGACTCTGTTGGGGATCCTCTTGTGGCCCTCTGGGGCCCTCTTGGAGGCAGCCTGGGCAGTCTTGAAGCAATATTCTGCCGCCGTGGGGCCATCTTGGGCCACGGCATCTTGGGCCATCTTGGTGTCCTTGGTGGCTTGTACGGTTCGTCCTGGAAGCCCGGGACGCATATCCATCCTTTTTATCGAGGGGTCGTGGCTTGGGATGGCGCTTGGGAGCAGCGCCTGGGAATGCGGGACGTGCACGATCCCCGAGCGGGTTCGCGTGCGATGAAGGGGCCATGAGGAAAGTGCGCAATCTTCGGGCGGGCGCTCAGGCAGTAGTTGCCACGCGGGAAGCGTATAATCCTCGAGCGGCTGCGCATGGAATGAGGGTTCAGGTATTAGCTGCCATACGGGAAGTGCACTATCCTCGAGCGGGCACGCGTGGAATGGGGGATTCGGCAATGCTGGAAGTGCACAATCTTCGAGCGGGCACAAGGGAAGTGGCCCTGGAAAGGAGGGGCGATGCGTGCGGCAGTCTGTGCGGGTAGCAGGAGGCGGTCCCTATTCGAATTCCAAAACTTTACCATGCATACCGTGGCATTCTTCCACGCCTCAACGTGCCAGGGGGCACGGTGGCGGATTCCGTGTTTTTCATTGCATTGCATTGCCTTGCATCGTTTTGCATCGCTTCGCATCGCTTTGCATTGCTTGACGACGGGAAGCGCCTCTGGTGTGGACCGTTTTACTGAAGCTGTTTTTTCCTTTACTTATGAGGTCCGCATCGCACCCCGAAGCTCGCTGGCGGATGCCGGAAAAATGGCCGGTTCGCTCGAACCATCCTCAAAAAATCGGCTCTGGAGGGAGCTCCGAAACCATATCGTCTTGGAATCGCTCCTGGGGGGCTCCAAAACGGCCCAAGACAGCCCCCGAAGGCTCCCCAGAGGACACCCAAAGCACGCCAATAGACCCCCAAGAGGCCCCCAAGAGGCGCCCAGAGGCCCCAAGAGACCCCCAAGAGGCCCCCGACCCTGATTCGTTTTCTCGTTTTCTCGTTTTCGCGGCTCCTGGGTCGTGGTCTGGTTTTCTCGGACCCTGGTTTGTTTTCTCGTTTTCGCGTTTTCTTTGCCCTTTGGTCGTGGCTTCGTTTTCTCGGACCCCGTTTCGTTTCTCGTTTTCTCGGCCCCTGGGTCGTGGTCTCGTTTTCTCTGGCCCTGGTTCGTTTTCTCGTTTTCTCTGCCTCTGGGTCGTGGCTTGGTTTTCTCTGACTCTGGTTCGTTTTCTTGTTCTCTCGTTTTCTCGGCCTGGGTCGTGGTCCAGTTTTTTCGGACCCTGGTTCATTTTCTCGTTTTCGCATTTTCTGTGCCCCTGGGTCGTGGTCTCGTTTTCTCGGATCCTGTTTCGGTTCTCGTTTGTCTCGTTTTCTCGGCCCCTGGGTCGTGGTCTCGTTTTCTCGGG